GATGATGATGTATGTTTGGGGCTGCATTGCAATATTGATTGTTCGGATCATTGGTATCTAAGTCTTCCGCTGTGCTATTTTATACTTTGTATTGAAAGGTCGGTTCTTGTTCTGGTCTGCACCTATACGGTATGCAACACACACACACCCTCTTCGAGTTGTGTATAGCGAACATGACAAAACATACATACAGGATGATACAGCATAATCACTACCTTACCCTTCCCGAACCACATAAACAAACGAACTACGGGCTGCGCACCCGTGCCCTCACGGTAAGTCAATAATAGGGGTGGTATTCCGACACAGAGTATTGCAGAAGCCGTTTTATTACTTGGTCTATCTGTATACAAGATCCAGTCTACTTGTCTATGTTTCTCCCATAAGCTATGGTGTCTTATTTGTATGTTCTCCCATTCTTGAAGTTGTCTAATCTTTTTGCAGTGATTAACAATTTCCGAGAAGAAAGAATCCGTTGGTTTACTCTCTAGCATTTGAATTTTCCTTAGGATTTGGATTTCTTCGAAGTACATGCTCTTTTCATCAGACGTAACTGAGAGTTCCGGTTCGTGGTATCTGGTCTGTTCTGATGAGTTCACTATGTGGGAGGAGGGAGAGGGGGAAAAAACAGAAATATTCATAAACTAGGATCATGGCTGGTCTGATCCATGGTATCTGGTCTGTTTTTGTTTTATATCACTTTAGTATCTGATACGTGGCCCATCCAAAAAAAAAAGGAAAGCCGTCCTTCCGGAACGATACAAAGAAGATTAGCATGGCCCCTGCGCAAGGATGACACACATAAATCGAGAAATGGTCCAAAAAAAAAAAAAAAGAGAAAGAAACTAACTCATAGTTTAAATCAGCAGTAGATCCATGGTATCTGGTCTTTTTCCCAGGGCTTGAGACGCCCTGCGCACAAAAAGAAACGAACGAACCGGTGTGGGCCTCCTTTGGGCTGGCACGGCCAGCCATTTTGCTCTGGCACCCGGCCCCGAAAGTTGCAGTGTGCAGGCAGCCGCACCAGAAAAAAATGGCTGCGAAACGTATGGGTGGTTAATTAGTAGAATCGCACGAATACGAGGTTAGACTGGGCTATAGCATTAGGGAAAATAATTAGAAGAGGGGGGGGCAGAAATAGCTCCTGCGGAAAACAAAGGGGGTACAATGCACCCCCTCTGAAGAACATCGGTCTGGGTAAACCAGATGCAGGGAAAGATGGGGAAGTTGAATAAGGTACCACAGGAGCAGTCATGGGAGGAGGCCAAGGAAATTATGGAAGCATAAAAAAAAAGGGGGAAATGTGAAAAGAATGGGGCAGCAAAATTAAGCAGGGAGGGAGCTAACCCCCCCACACACGGATGGCTTTAATAGAGCATTTCAAGACAGAAGAGCAGCTACGGCAGGGGGCGCTCATAGCACAGTAGTTAAGGATCCATACATCTGGGCCCTAGGCTCTCCTCCGTGCAAGCACGGATTCGAACCGGCCACCTCAGCCTCAAAAGCCAAGTCTTCTCTTAACCACAACAGCCAGGACGCAGTGACGCAGTGAAGAATATTGGTCATGATATCCACCACATCCCTGCAAGGCTGCAGTGTCCAGCACACACTGCACACAACACCACACGGACACACCACACAGATGCGGCAAGTGTTGCACACTTCGCTCCACTCAGCACGTGAGGCCCACTGGTACCTAGCCCGCTCACACGCACCGGTCGGCGTTCTTAACTTGCCCCGCTGGTTCACGGGCGCCTCCACAGTGCCATCGATCCATACATCTGGGCCTAAGGCCCTCCTCCGTGCAAGCACAGATTCGACCCGGCGACCTCGGCCTCACGAGCCAAGTCTCTTAACCACTACATCCAGTCATATAGCACAGATCAAGAGAACGAGGCTTCGCTTGGTCACACGACAAAGGTAACTCTCCGTCCTCCCTTTGGCCAAGAAGACCAAAGGGAGAACGAAGAGTATGTACATGGAGAACAATGAGGACTCTTCAGCGGGCATTTCCCTGCCGTTTGGCTCAAAACAGATCACATATGAAGTCTCTGTTCTGGTCAGCTTAATACCTGGTCCATGAAACACTGGACCACACACACACACACACACACACACACACACAAAGTAGAGTGTGCAATGGAGGGGCGCTCCTCTTCTTTTTTGGCATCCTTGTGCAGGGGCCATGCTAATCTTCTCGGTATCGTTCCAATTTTATCGGATGTCTTTCTAGACTGCCAGATTTCCTCTTAGTATAACTAGCTGACCAATGAGAGAGAACAGGGGTAGGCGCTGTAGAGGAGTGGTCAATCCGTATAGATTGGGAAGTAATCAGCGCCGCTGTCTCACTGGTAGATCCTTCTCACTCGCTTGCGAAAAAAAAGTAACGAAGAGAAGCGCCATGTGAGTAATCTGTCCCCAATTTCCAGCAAATAATACAAGTCCTTCATTAAGAAGAGGGAAAAAAAGAGGTGGTAAGTACGTTCATGTCAGATTTCAGAATCGAATGAGCAAGAAAAACACCCCCTGACAAAGAAAACCTCGCCAAGTTCGAAAAGGCAACGAAAGTACGAACGGGTGTGGCGTCAGGCCGGGTGTCATATTTACAGGGCTCGTACATGGTGTCAGAGGGGGAAACACACACACACACACACACACAC